AAATGAAGAAACAAAAAGCAAAAATGGCAGCACCTCCCCCACTCAAAATAAAATTCGGCTAACCCCTAAACTCTTCCCCAAGTGGGTTTTTATAGCAAAAGGAGGAGAGGAACGAGTCACCTGCACTCACCTGGGCGGTGAGTCGAGCCGAGAGAAGCGACAAGAGTCGCGCGGCGACAAGAATCGCGGAGCAGGGAGCATGGCTGGTGGAAGGCTGGAGCGCGACAAGGAGCAGGTGGAAGCTTTATCAGAGCACGGAAGCACGCGGATGGGGGGACCTCGGCCGAAGCTTCGTGACGAAGAGGGAGGACCGCTCAGCTAGGGCTGCGATCGGGATGAACCGCGAACATGAGGAAGGGGGCGGACGGGGTGGACCGAGTGACCGAGAGGAAGAAACGCGAATGACGCGAATGAGTGAGGGTCTTGCGTGCGTTCGATTTAGGGATTTAGGGATTTAGGGCCTTAGGAATGTAAAAGGAAGATTCAGTTTATATAAATTAATATATATATATATATACATATAAATATATATATATATATAATCACATGCGATTCATTCACGCGCGGTGTCGTAACAAAATGGGTGTCCTTCCTAGGCAAAATTGGTATCTCGGACGCGTTGGCGCAGTCCATTTTGTCGTCGGAGGTCATCCGGAGAAGTTCGCATTTTCACCCGTCCTTTAGGCTTAATTGAAGTCCGATTTCGCGCAATTTCGTGAATTTTGTGTATTTGATGTGTGTATATGACGAAAAAGGTCGTGACAATGTCTTCCTAAGGCTTGAAGTCCTATCAGGAACTTTTCCCTTGAGTCTTCGCAAAATAACCCATAACCACTCGTCTATAAGACGATGGTCTTGTGCCATAAATGCAGGACATCAAAGAAAAATAGGAATTGGCTAGACCACACACGCGGAACCACAAAGGAGTACAGAAGCAGGTTGAATTTATAGAACGAAGCGGGTCTCATTTCTAAGGTTCTAAGATAGTCGAAGGGAGATCCCTAAGGCTAGATCCTAAACCCTAAGAGGAAGACTACACCTCATCAAAAATGAGGTCAACAACAAGTACCTAAGATGTTCAACGAATTTGTTCATAAGCTAAAACGACCCAGTTTAACATAGAATTGAAACAATTTGGTTGGTTATGTTTTGGTCGAGTTGGATTACAGATTCTTTGGCTAAATATGCATCCTTTACCATCACCAGTAACCATACAAGTATGCTAACTTTGATTTATTATGGAAAACCTATTCAAATTTTAGACTTAATTATAACTTTGATTATTGGATTTGAGCCTAATATTGTTAAAGAATAGCTAAGTGATGATCACAAAAAAGTTATTTGCAGAAGTTCTTCAGCTGTAGAACATCAAGCTACTGCTCTTTATATCATTCGAGAGAACTTTCAAAAACAAACAAAAGAAAATTGATGAAAGAAAACATGAAGTTTGACTATCAATAGTTCCTAGTATTCGAACTATGAACTTAGGCATGTGCTAAAAATTACTAGTTCAACGAGGTAAGGGAACCAAATGTCTTGTTTCTACCCATAAAATCCTATGAAAGGTTTGCTAATTTTAGCAATAGAGAAATAGTCTTTTTTTGTATATGTGTTACTAAGACAAAGTGGCTGAAGGGGTCTGCGGATTGGTGAGAAAAGTGGAAGATGATTAGGGAAATCATGAGGAAAAAAGGAATTGAAAATCTTACATAACAGGTATGTTTAGAGGAATCTGCTGACCAAAAGCTTCAAGATTTGAAATTACCTTTGATATGATATCAATATCGACTATTAATGACCAGATGGTCTCCAACCACTATCACAAGGTCAGAAGTGCTCTCCTCTAGATAGATTAATTCTTCAACAACAACAAGAATAATAACAACAACAAAAAAAAAAAAGGATGCATTTTGAACAAACTCCTCTGTTTCAAGGTATCATTTGATGGAGGTAATTGTAATCTCATCAATCATGATTTGACCAATCTTAGCTAATTCATCTCTCGAGGGAGGCCATGGCGTGAATTTTCAGAGCCCACAAGCGTGTCATCATAAAGCTCCTGTTAGAAGTAAATTACATAAGACTATTCTCGCAACAATGTTATTATATTAACAAATTCCCAATGCATGCGTTAAAATTATCTCCCCATTTTAACTGTTCCACGTAGCTTCCCATCACTCAAGTTTGGATCTCCTTTCCATGAATTTCTCTATATTAGTTCAGCATAACCACATTATTATCTTTGGTTCAATCCATAGAAAGCATTTACAGCTGGATGTTATAATAATGTGTTTTGTTAGATCCTCCATAGCTAGAGTTTTGGTAGAATTGAACATCACAGCACTTTTCATAAGAATGCTTGGATTGGGTCCCTGTCATCCGGATATTAGCGAAAAATAAAATTTGAAAATGTGTCATCTTACTGCACCTCTTCTGAAAATTTTGTGCCCAAGTTCTCTGAATATTTCGAGGCTCATCCAACCTTAGAATCAAAAGGCATTACACATGATGATCCTTTGTTAAAAGTTGTTCAAAAAGCCAGGATTTTGGTTTGGTTACTCCTCAGAATAAAGTGTTTGATGTTCCTACTCCACTCTCCTATCTTCACTAGACTTTAAACAAGAAGATCCAAATGAATTTTTAATATCTTCTTTTGTCTGTACTTTTCTTTTTGCAATGGCATTTCTTGTTAAATTTCCTTGAAATACTTATATTATTATCTGGTTAATATAGTTAGTTTACAAAAATTAATTTATCGCCTAAGAAAGCACTCTAACAGAGATTAAAAAATGAAAAAGCATAAAACCAACCCCAAATATTTTGGGATAAGGCAAATGATGATGATAAAAAGACCACGGATGGGTAATGACCAAAAGGAAAATATCAGAAATAAGCCTACCCAAAATAGGAAAATCATACAACGGTTTATTTTGGTATGGTTTTATAAACACTTGAATAGTCCTTGTGAATACAAAAATGAGCAATTATAGCCAAGAATATGAACAATAAATATCAGTGAATGAAACATCAAATTCTTTTGAGATTTCAAGCCAAATAATTTGCAGAAGATTAAAAAAAATATTTAGCTTGTATTTTGGTTAATGACTCTAAATTAGAGATAAACCCACAAGCACATAACTTATATGTATTTTGAGGAGTTACATCTAGTCTTGTAAAACAAAGTAACAGCATTCCAAGACTCCAAAACATTCATTCAAAATTCACAGATTGAATAAGAAGGTCAATTGTTTCACTATTGTAAGTACAGCAAATAAGAGGAAGTAGGTGTAAATTTAATCATCAATTTATGCCCATAGGCAATAAAAAAAACATCATATAAATGAATAATACATACTCTATGGTGCATATCTTCCAATTCATCCATAGGTGTAGCCTTATCAGACATCACATTTGGTGTGAGCTTCAGATTCTCATCGAGATATACAAAGATCGAATCCACACATAAAATAAGGACATCTAACCTTTTCTCTGGCGCAGGGAATGCCACCTGCAATAAAATAAGGCACATGCATAAAACCCTAAATGCCCATACATATTGCAAGAATATTTCATTCTAGGGCCATTTACATACATACCACATAAGTCTTGTGTATTTACATATCTAAAACCTAAACATTCATATGTACATGCATACCAATCAAACTTTTAACATTACATCAAAAATACCACCATCACTACCTTCTTAGAAATGAAACCTTTCCATGCATAGGTTTATGACACCGTGTTATAAATCTATATATCGAACATTGGTTGTTAGATATGTAAATAAATAAGAATTGTGTGGCATGTATGTATGTCAATTTCTCTTTATTCTATGCCTGAAAAATTCGTGTTAGTTCATAACCCGTAAGGCCTTTCCAAAGCCCACAGGCAACAAAGGATGGCTGGACCAGTCCAGTATGGATTGGTTGAAAGGCTGCCAAGTCCATGCATTGTGCATTTTCAAGGAGCAATACAGGCTTAATTATGCCTTTAATGTGTTGAACAAGAGGTAACAAATGATCAATGTTATTTTTAATAAAATCCATAGCCTCATTTTATGAGCTGCATTAAAATTTTCATCCATAAATCTGTGAACTATTAAGGAAACTGGTTAGGCATTTTTTAGGAAGATTTACATACATACCACACAATTCCTATGCATTTGCATATCTAACACCTAAATTTTAACTTTTACATTTATGCCACTTTACCATGCTTGCAAAGGTGTATTCACTTTTTAAAACTTAACAACAGTGGTAGTTATGATGTGCTATGAAATATTTGAGTGTTATAAATGTAAAATTTAAACTTTAGCTGTTAGATATGTAAATAAATAAGAATTGTGAGGTATGTAAATGCCCCCATTTTCTTAAGTCCTCCTATAATGCCAAACACAGTACTACGAAACTAACGAAACTCCAAGGAACTGCTGGAGGACCCAACAAGGCCCTTAATTGAGCAAAGAAATTAGTTATATCAAAAGAAATTATACTTTTAATTCGTGGTTAGAAATGGTATTGCCACAAGGACACATCAATTTCATCAACCTTATTCCAACCATTGGAGTCAACTTCTGTTGTAATTGGATCTAATAATTTAAATTTGTTATTAGAAATTCCATGACTATGGAGTGGCTAATGGTGCCAAAAAAGATACTAGTAAATCACAGTTTTATAATTACAACTACATACTTACAATTTATAAATCTCGTTTAGAATATGTTGGACAATAGGAACATTATTATGTGCTCTGAGATGTTAAATGCTAAATATACAAAAAGTAACATTATTCATTTTTTTCTTATTTAGCTACGCATGCTAGAAATAAGAGAGATTACAGCCAAAAAGCACTAAAAATGTAGTTATCCATAAAAACCAAAAAAAAAATGTAAAGCTGAGTCTAATTTTAATAAAGGCACATTCAAATTGTATGACAGAGACCTCAAAGGAAAACCTGGCTGCCTGAGAAACCTCAGGAATTGGATCAAATTGAGCAAACCACCAAGGCCCCATCAAAGACTTCAAATATGGAGCCAAACCCTTCCTGGAAAAATAGAATGTTCTAATATTACAATCAAGCAACCAAACGTTATGTATTTATATCTTATGAATCCTCAGTAGGGATCATGAGTAAAACATTAAATTGCACTAAATAATTGGGAGATCTACATGCACGCCATATGAATTTACTTATCTAACACCCAAAGTTTAATCTTTACACATGCTACCTTGGTGTCATAAATCTATGCATGAGAATGTGCATTTTAGTTTTACAATGATAGTGATGGCGGTCTTTCTGATGTGATGTTAAAGATTTGAGTGGTATGTATGTAAATATGAAATTTGGGTGTTAGATATGTAAGTATGTATGTAAATATGAATATTTGGGTGTTAGATATGTAAATACATAAGAATTATGGGTATGTATGTTAAAGCCTCTGAATAATTATTGCATGCTATCTACATATTTTGTCACATAATTTCGAAAACAATTTTTTATATAGAAAAGCACCAATACTAGTTTAGGATTCTGCTAGAATTTATTATGCTGAAGGCAAGAAAATTTGAAAAAAAAAGGTGTCATTATTACGAAGTAAGGATGAGCTATTTATAAATGTTTAGAAAACTTTCTAATTTGAATTAATAAGACAGCAAAGAAGAAGAAAAAAGACTTACTTGTGCAATCCAAATGATATTAGTTTCATGCTGTTTACGATCAGACTCAGCAAAACAAAATAAATTTATCACAAAGCACAAGCACTAAACACACTTTTCATAGATTTCAAGCTTAGAAGTGAAAAGTTTATTTACTGAACAAAATGTAAGCAAGCAAACAAAAGTCTCTCACATTAACTGATAGTATGTATGACTGGCAGCCTAAAGAAGATTTACATACCAACTTCCTTGAAAGCTTAAATTGCATGTAGAGAGTCATAGGAATCTGTCCACAAAGGTTTTAATACAAAATTTTCACATTGTGCGCAAACTTCTTTCTTACCAATCCCCAGACTTGCAGCCCTTTAATAAGATGAAGCACCAAATCAAGTAATCTAGAGTCTCACAAAGTTGTCAAGCCCATCAAATCATGCTCGATTCTCAAGTTTTCCAAGAGATGCAAACTCCAACTAAAACTAAGATAAATAAACTCTCTTGCCAACTGGATCATCAATCAAAGCCAATCGCTTAGACCAAAATCCCATCTATCTAAAACACTTCTTCGAGTTAAGCTGAAACTAATCAATTAATGGTCATACTATACTTCAAATCACTTTTCAATCAGCCTAGTACTCCAAATTCTAGGCCTTCAGTTATGTCCCCTCTGAATTCATTAGTGAAACTAGTAAGAATAATCAAATTTTCACTAAATGAGTTGACATCAATCTTAAAAAACATATTTATGGGATGCCTTAAATAAGATAAACTATGACTGCTAATAAACATCGTTGGATGTTATGCCTTATAGCCATCTAACATTAGTAAACTAGGTTTGTTAGTATACCTGAGATGACTAGATCATGGGAACTTGAATGGTTCTATCTCCATACCCCAATCATTAACCCACACTATTAAATTCGTTCAAAAAACATTAAATCTAAACCATAAAATGAGGCCAAAAATCTGATTAAAGTGTTTTGGTGAGTGGAAAGGTGATTAACAAGGATGACTTATGCCTACAGAATATCTCGACCTCATATCAAAATAAATCCTGGCACAACATTAGAAAAAAATTTAGTTAGCAGAAATCCAATGTATCTCAAAATACAATGCTCTCGAGTTTTCTCTTAAACATCGAGGAGACTTACAGGAGAGGTTTTACTTCTCTTAACCAATTAATCCCGCTTCAAGAAATTTTTTCAACACTTTATTTGGACATATAGCGATAACACACCATGAGAAACAACTCATCATGATTGATAGCTTGGTTACTTCCAAATTTATAATATTTCAGTTATTTCCCTCCCGTTACACTTCCTCTACTAAAAGTATAAGTTTTATTTACATTTAAAGGATTTCCTCAGCTTCATTATTAATCAAGTAACAAAGAAGCTCCTTTTTTATGTTATTTTACATTTTTTTTAATTCCTATGCTAGCACTTTGGATAGAAAAAATTTATGCAAATAATACAAAGTCTATAAGGTGTCACTGCTTTCCCATGGTTTGATGTGCCTGAAAACATACTTCATAAATTGTAGAACAATTATTAATTAGTATGATCTAGAAAAGATCAACCTTTGTCCCTGGAGTTAAAAGTCAAAGAGTACACCGGGTTATTTTTCTTTCCAAGGTGAAGCTTATTTCTCATGAGGTTTTAACAATGGTTTCTTTTAATGCAATTTTATAATAAATTTGTTGAAAACAATCCAGAAAATTCAGTTGAAAACTAGATTTAAATCATGTATAAAAATGTAAACTTTTAGCATAAGTTCAATAATTTTAGTTTGATGAAGCATTGGAAAACAAAAGGAAAAGGAATGTTGCCTCTGAGCATTACATAAACTCAACCTGACAACAGCAACAAAAGCGGCCATGGTATCATGTGTAGCTAGCCGTACTTCCCTATTGTAGTCAAGCAATAGCCTTTTGTACTCGTATGCCTATAAGAATTATGAAAGAAAGTATACTTAGTTATAAAACAAAATTTCATGCTCAGTGATGATCACATGGATACATTTTATGTGAAGTTAATATATATAATAAAAGGGAAATTTACATACGCAGCACACAATTCTAATGTATTTACATATCTCACACCTAAACTTTCATATTTACAAACATAACACTGGCGTCGTAAACCCATGCATGAAAATGTCAATTTTAATTTTAAAAAGTGGTACTAGTTCTATTGTTGATATATAATTAAACATTTCAGTGCTATGTGTTCAAATACGAAAGTTAAGGTGAGAGATTTGTAAATACATAAGAATTGTGTACTGTGTAGTAAATGCCACAGAATAAAATTGATCGTTAGCAGGAAAATACCTTAAAAACTGAAAAGAAATGAATGCATCGATACTAAATGCTCTCAAGACAAAATATAGCATTAGTTTAACTATCAAGGTCTGCAACAGTCGAGTTAATGTTAAAGAACAAAAGAAAAATAAAATAAAATAAAATAAAACACCATGAACAAAATTTGATTAAATAATAAACAGATATATGGATTTGTAGAATTCTTTTATCCTCCGGTGATATAATTAACAACCCTATGAAAATGGATAAGGTAAAAAGTAAATAAAATGGTGGAAAAAAATAATTTACTGAATAATCATTAAGTTCAGAATAAAACAATCAAGAGCCTTAAAGCAGAAAAAATTTAACATAATAGTTCAAATTACGTTACGGTAAGCATGTATATCATTATACATGTTTTTTAAAAGTGACATTATTAGCACTAAAAGGCGTCGGGGCATGGCTGAACTGGCTCAACTAGTTCAGCAATGGGCGATGGTCTAGCAGGAAGGCTAGACTGGCCGACTAAGCTATTGGGTGGGAACTACCGCCCCTTCCTCTCCCTCCAATTCTATGTATATACGTATATACTTTTTTTTTTTCGAAAAAGCCATAGGGCAGTTATGTTAAAGAGGAACATGTACAGATATGTTGTATAAGTGGTCCTAAAAGAAGGCATCAAACCACACGATACAATACACACAAAATCTCAAAAAAGAAAAGATACATATAATAAGCCTTGCCATGACTCATCTTAGACCCTAAGGTTGAGTTCCAAGCCAGCCTCAAAAAAATCAAAAACCATCAACGCGCGCAAAAGCTAGGGAAGACTCAGTTTAGTCTTGCCTCTGCCAGGAGTTCTCGGAAGAGGGTCAGCTATCAAATTGGTGAGGTGCGTACCATTACCCGAAGTAACCAAAATATCATCCATTAGATTTTTTAGCTCAAGTAGGTCTTCATTCTTTTTCTTCCTTCTGGATGAGTAAATCTGTCATTCCTCATCCGATGATTGACTCATCTGATAGTGGATTGGTCCAAAGGTGGCTGGACAAGTGCAGACTGTTGCACATCATGAAACCCATGTACCTGAGTAACATTTACATCTTGTTCGACCTAATGAGGCGGTAGAGAAGCAGTAGCAATATTGTCACTTGTAACATCAGTGATAAGTTCTAGGGCAGGTGAAGTCTGAAATATCTCACTGGCCCCCACGAAAGGAAGTTCCAAAGATGGGGAAACTACAACATTGTGTGGAGGTTGAATGGTTGACATATAGAAAGTGACATCTTCAAGAGTATCATTTTGATGATCAATACTGTCGATAACTTGGAGCATATCAGGAGGAGGGGGAATCGCTATCTCTGACAGAGCACTATGGTTCTGTGGTCTGAGGTGAGGGTGTAGATGATGACATTGAGAACTGGAGTGGACAAACATACGATAGTTCGAACAATACAAAGAGAAATACTCAACTTCAACATTTTGTCAATAATCATGATGTTGTGTGCCCAACCAAAGTTCCTCAGAAGCGGTAGAAGTGATGTCTCTTTCAACGACTATTCTGGCTTCAGATAGACAGAAAAGATTAAAAGTAAGAATGTCCGTTTTGAGTAACTTATCATAATCTGAGGCAATAGAGTACAATATTTTTTGAGTAAAATAGTGAAATTTCAGGCCAGGAAGACGAATCTAAACTGGAATGATTGGTGGTTACGTCTATGGGTCAAAATATACTAATCATTTCAAAATCTTCATTGCTCTGTTATCAATCCAGATTATTCTTCTAACAAATAATCGTGTGTAATCATCTTCATTATGAAGTTGAATAAGAATGAGTTTTCCATCTAGAAGTCCAATTTTTCACTCCCCAACAAGATGCATAAGCTCAAATTCCCTATGAATAAGCTCCATTGTAGGATGATCATAAATAAATTTCCTGACCAAATACAAACGACAAAAGGAAGCAAGTTGATTACATTCAATTTCTGTAAAAAAGATGGCAGACTTCTCATTCTTCCTACCAAGTTTTTTGATGTCCTCCGCGAACTCAAACGAAGGGAAAAAGCACGATTTAGGAGTATCTGAGAAGTGAACTCCCGCAAGGGCAGTAACATATGATCTATCTGAAGCCATCACCACAAGGAGCCACGGTGAAAGAACAAAGTTTGCAGTAAAAGCGAAATCTGAAAGGGAGCAAAAACAGAAAACGAGCCCTGCCAAGTCGAGCAAAGGGAAAAGTAGAAAGCCGCAGAAGTCGAAGTCGCGGAAGTCGCAGCAGACAGTCAAAGCGAAGCTGCAGAAGACGATCAAGGCGAAGCTACAGAAAACGGTCGAGGCGAAGCCGTGGAACAGGCGCAGCTCAACGAGCTCTACAAAGACAACGAGCCGTGAACAGGAACAGAGGAGCAAACTCCGAGTCACGAACGGGAACAGAGGAGTGAACTCCCCTTCTTCAAGCAAATAACCTGTAGGAGAGGCTAGGGTTCTCCATGAGGCGAACCCATGTATATATATATATATATATGGATATATGGGTTTCGCCTCACGGCGAACCCTAGCGTCTGCTTCGATATCTCTCTCGTCTTTGTTTCACCTTCATTGTCGGCTTCTCGCGTCGTCTGCTGCTTTTTACTCGAGTTGATTTTGCAGGGGTCCAAGTCGTCCGGTCCGGCGATTTCGACGGGCTGCGTCGCTTCCGCTCATATGTTTGTTGGAGGCTGAAGGGCATCTTTCTTCATTGCCTTTGTCGTCTACCTCTTTGCTCGAGCTGATTTTACAGGGTCCTCGGTCCGCTTCTGTGCTTCGCTCGAGCTGATTTCGCAGGGTCCTCCTCGTCCTACGTCGTCCGCTTCTGCGACCTGTTCCCAACAGCCTATAGGGAGTCGTTCTGCTTGAGCTGAATTCGCGAGGTTTCCGCTCTTGCTCCCTGTTTTCTGGATTCGAACTTTGCTCTTCATTGTTTTCTTCACTGTTCTAAACGCCACACCTCCATCTACTGGGGATGGCTTCGGATAGATCGTATACTGCTGCACTTGTGGGTGTCTACGCCTCAGTTAAACCTAAATCGTGTCATTTCCCTCCTTCATTTGAGTAAGAGGAGAATATCAAGAAATCTGGTAGAAAGAATGAGAAGTCTGTCATCTTTTTTACAGAAGTTGAAGATATTTAACTTGATTCCTCTTGTCGACTGAATTTGGTTGAAAAATTTTTGTATGATCATCCCAAAATAGAGCTGATTCGTAAGGAAATTGAGTTTATGCACCTAGTTGGGGAGTAAAAAATTGAACTGTTAGATGGAAGACACATTCTCATACAAATTAATAATGAAAAAGAGTACAAGTGTTTATTTGCTAGAAGAATAATCTCTATTGATAACAGAGCAATGAAGATTCTGAAATGGTCTGTGGATTTTGACCCTAAGACGGAACCTCCAATCATTCCGGTTTGGATTCGCCTCCCTGGTCTGAAATTTCATCATTTTACTCAAAAAATTTTGTGCACTATTGCCTCAGCTTATGGTAAGCCACTCAAAATGAACATTCCTACTTTTAATTTTTCTCGTCCATCGAAAGCTAGAGTACTTGTTGAAAGATACATCACTTCATCTGCTTCTGAGAAAATTTGGTTGGGCACAGTAATTGAGTTTTTTCCTTCGTATTGTTCAAACTGTCGTATGTTCGGCCACTCCAATTCTCAATGTTACCATCAACATCCACACCTCAGACCAAAAAAACACAGTGCTCCGCCAGAGGCAGTAATTTCATCTCCTCCTGATCAGCTCCAAGTTATTGACACTATTGATCATAAAAAAAATGCCCCCGACGACCTCACTATTCTCGCAAGCAATATTATAACCATTCAGCCGTCTCTGGAACCTCCTATCATGGGTGAAGGGAGATTCTTCAAACCCCACTTGCCAAACCTATCACCGTTATTACAGGTGGCAATTTTTCTACTGTTTCACTACCGCCTCATTAGATCGAGCAAGTTGTAGCTGTCACTCATGTTCATGGGGATCATGTTGTGCAACACCTTACACCTGTCCAGCCAACTTTGGAACAATATATTGATCAAATGAGTCAATCATCGAATGAAGAATGACAGATCTACACATCAAGGAGGAAGGAGAAGAATGGAGACCTACTTGAGCTCAGGAATCTGATGGATGATACTTTGGTTACTTCGGGCAATGACACTCCTTACTAATTTGTTAGCAGACTTAATTCGGAGAACTAGAGGCAGAAAGAAGACTAAAGTAGGACGTCCCTAGCACTTTTGCGCTCTTTGGTGGTTTTTTGATTTTTTATTTTTATGTATCTTTGCTTTATTTGGGTTTTGTGTGTGTTGTATTATGTGAGTTGAGTTTTCTTTTAGGCCTCCCATACAACCTTTCTGCAACTCATGGCTCCTTGCGCGTTAATGTCAAAAAGGTGGTTACAAGAAATCAATGGGAAAACTGGATCCCCGCTAAAAATAAAGAAAATACATAAAGTCTTAGGGGTTCCTTTTTCCTCGCTACAACACCACCCAAAAAAGAAAAAAAGTTGAAACAAATGGGAAATGTAACCAAAATATACATGTATCAAACCAAAACGTATACCCAAAAAAGTGACGTATACCATCTATGAACATGTATATCAAAAGA